GGAGAAAGAAAGAGGAGAGAGGAGAAAGAAAGAGGAGAGAAAGGGAGAAAGAAAGAGGAGAGAGGAGAAAGAAAGAGGAGAAAGAAAGAGGAGAAAGAAAGAAAGAGGAAAGAGAGAGGAGAAAGAAAGAGGAGAGAGGAGAGAGAAAGAGGAGAGGGAAAGAAAGAGGAGAAAGAAAGAGGAGAGAGGAGAAAGAAAGAGGAGAGAGGAGAAAGAAAGAGGAGAGAGGAGAAAGAAAGAGGAGAGAGGAGAAAGAAAGAGGAGAAAGAGGAGAGAGGAGAAAGTGGAGAAAGAGGAGAGAGGAGAAAAAGGAGAAAGAGGAGAGAGGAGAAAAAAGGAGAAAGAAAGAGGAGAGAGAAAGAAAGAGAGAGAGAGAGAGAAAGAGAGAGAGAGAGAGAATGAGAAAGAGGAGGAAAAAAAAGAAAAGAAGAGGCAAGCTTACCAATGATAGAAAGATGAGAAAAATGATTTTGTAATTTGGTGGAGTGGCATCTTCGTCCAACAGACCGCATGACCTGAAGCAAAGTTTGAACCTAGGTTTTTGGCTTGGTTCTGTCTCTTCAACCATAATGTTCTGGGCAAGATGAACCACACAATGGCTGCTGCACTTTGCAGGAATCAATTTACCTTTGAAAAAGAAACAAAACAAAACATCTTCAGATATTTGTGGACATAAAATATCATTTTTTTTGGAAAACAGAATATTGAAAATATGGCAAACTTAAAACTAAACTTGCTGAAGTTGTTTAAAACAAATCCAGGATTTTGCAGCTTATAAGACACCCACTCCCATTTTAAAGGAAGATATTGTACAAAAAATGTTTTTCTTGTACTTTATAGCCCTCCCTACTATCACCAAATTTACCCACTGCATAGCAGAATTCAGCATGAAAACTTGACTAATCATGGCAAATTCATCAAAGACTGAGAAGAAGTACCAGATTTATGGTAACTATTTAGAATGTAATAACTAAATAACTTGGACCAATTTTAAACTTAATTCACATTTAAAATTGGTCTAAGTTATTGGAACACACTTTATAAGAGAAGTTAACAGCCTTCACTAACCTTTGCAGGATGGTTTTGGGTGATATTTTATAGGAAAAAGAATGTATCATATAAGCTGCAAGAACAGTACTCACTCTTTCACTCACTCTCTCTCACACACACCTGTCTATATCTCTGAGATGAGGTATTATGATTACTTGCATCATTTACATTATTCAAACTTATCTTCATCACCATATTCACAATGTCTCGGTCATTGTCTGCTTTGGCCTTCTTCAGGTGATTGGAATTTCGAACCAAACCCTTTATTTCGTCCACCAGAGTAGATTGTTCTAGTTCCAAGTGCCATGCCTCTTCCGGCTGTCTCAGTTATTTCCCTTTAATTGAACTCTCCAAGTTTTGGTTCACTACTGCTGTGTCCTGGTATTGAACTCACGAGTCTTTGGGTCTAGTCACTGGATCTAACCAACATCTTCATCCACTGGGCCATGCGCGAAGAAGGTTGAAGCATATAATGGCCAAAACGTTGTGAATATGGCAATGAAGATGACGACAACAGTTCAAATAATGTAAATAATGCAAGTAATCATAATAATACCTCATCTCAGAGATCGTATCACCTGAAGAAAACTGGAGCATACAACGGTCGAAACGTTATGAATATGGCAATAAAGATGAAGATAAGAGTCTGAATAATGTAAATATTGTAAGTACACACAAACACATTTACACAGGGCAGTAATACTATTTGCATTGACCTTGGAAGAGAAGCAGACCCTCATATTTGGTTTAGCTATTTGGCTAGAAGAAGAAAACTCCATTGGACAACCTACAACCTTAAGACCTTACTGTCATCTCAACTCGATGGGAAATGGTATAGGAAGCCTAAATTTCAAGAGTAGGGTCAGTAATATGGCTTAGAATTGTTAATCAAAAAGCCAAGTTCCAATTCCCATTAGGTTTGTTATATTCACTTATGTACAAATACCATTGGGAAAGGTATGAATCCACCTCTTCTCCCCCAGCTATGGGTTCATTAGTAAGGCTTGTATCACTAAAATGCCTGTTATCTAAATAATATTGAATAATGAATAGGTATGATATAAAAGCGACAATATCTTTATTCTTTGATACAAACCAGTTATAATGATATAGGATGACTCAAGTTAGGAGCATGTGTATAGGTGTTATGAGATTTGTAGGCCATAATCACTTAATTACATAATGAGGAGTCAGAGTCAGAGGTGCCAAAAATAGAGGAGTTGGTTTTGTGTTCCAACTCCACAACCCTGGATATTGGAAACAAAGATTAATCTGTATCCCTAGCCATTACCCAGAAAGATAATTTGCATAGGTGTGTTAATTCATCTAAATTGACAATAACTGAGCATTTATTAAATAATTATCAATGAGCCCAAGACATGTTCTCGATACTGAGGAAGGCTCATTCTGGTTTTTCAATTTATATCAAGTCTTTCATCTGATTGTTAAAAGTCTTACATTATAGCATTTTTATTTCTTTTATATCCTTTCAAAGATTTACTCTCTAATTCTGTTAGAAAATATTGAAGAATGAATAGGTATGATATAAAAGCCACAATATCTTTATTCTTTGATATAAACCAGTTATAATGATATAGACCTACTCAAGTTAGGAGCATGTGTATAGGCATTATAAGATTTGTAGGCCATAATCACTTAATTGCATAAAGAGGAGTTGGAGTAGAAGTTGAAGGTTTTGTGTTCCGACTCCATAGCCCTGATTTTTAGGGTCATTTTGTCTTTTACATCACGTAAAAGATTATATTTCAACTGTCAAAAAGAAGTTTTATTTTTATTCTGTATTTATTTCTTGTTTGCAGATATATATGTAAAATGTCTTACATTATAGCCTTTTTATTGTCATTTCTTCGATATCCTTTTAAAGATTTTGTCCCTGATTCTGTTAGAAAATATTTAAGAATGAATAGGTATGATATAAAAGCCACTCTAATATAATGTTATATTTTATAATGATATAAAAGTTCTTACTTTTCCCAGACTTTTAATGAAAATGTCAACACACAAGAGAAGGCGTATCCTGCTTCATAGAGGCCAAATTGGAGACTCAAGCCCAGTGACATTATGGTAAAATGTATGAAAACAAACACTAAGTTGTTTTAGCATCTCTGTCTGGTACAAGAAGTTTATGAAAAAAACAGTTATGGGGCATTGTTTAGGTGTGATGCATGCAACCAATGGAGCTCATATATATCTTTATTTGTTCAATACCATTTTCCAGTAAATCCTTTTGAGTTATCTTCATTTCTTCCTTTTATGTGAATTTTTAAAAATGTGCAGATATTTTATGGACACACACATATATATATTGATTATAGGTGCAGTTCAATTTTTAATTACATGAATCATTCATACAAAAAACAAATATAGATCTTAATGATTTAAATGGCAAGAATACATCTTCGCAAACAATTTCAATAAAGTACACTAACCCCGAACCTAAATATATATATATATATATATATATATATATATATATATATATATATATATATGTGTGTATTAAAGCAGCAGATCATTATTCAAACATATATTGTTAAATATAACAGACAATAAATATCTATTATGTTTGATATAGTTGCTTTAATTTTGGAAGAAAATAAAGACAAAAATATCCAAATGACATTCATTTTCTGTTATATTTAAAAATAAATAAAAGAATAATTAGGGACAAGCCTTAAAAGTCTATTAAATTTATTTTGATGACTATAAGCATATTCATCTCAGCGGACCGACTACATTTTATGAAATAGAATAGAGATAAATTGATTCTATTTCATAAAATATAGTCAGTCTGATGAGATATATATTCTCTCATCTCTTTAAATAAATATTATGAAGGTCAGTGGAAGAGTCCTGGTTGCTATATATATTTATTGTATTGTAAATTGGTTCCTCTATGGAAGTCAAAACAAAATATGTTCATTCAACATGATTTCTTAAAAATTGTAGAAAAATGGACAGTTTTTGAATTTCGTAATCTGAAGCGCTTTTCTCACATTTTACTAGCAATTAAGCACCCCCCCCATATACTTATATTTAACACTGTAGCATTCAGTCCACCCCATAAATATTGGCTCTTATAAAGTAAAAAGAAAAAATAAAAAAAAAATAAAGAAAAGAAAAAACATCAATAAAAACATGTCTTATTTTTTAAGATTGAATTTATTTTAAAATTTAAATTTTGCCTCATCATCAAACTACAAGTGTTGCGGTCGAGAAATAGAAGAAATCTATTGCAGTTGCTACTATAAGTTGACAGTCTTTACTTTTCTTTAGTACAACAGTTTTATGATCCCAAAACCCACCTTAAAGTTTGCAAAGAGGCATGGTTAAAGAGATTTTTTAACAAATATAGAAAGTAAATTATGAACACGGTTGGAGCCAATTTGTGGCTACTTAAGAAGTCTGGCTTGTCAGACTGAGAAAAGGACTTGGCCATCACAGGCAAAAGATGCAAACTGCTGGGAGGAAGAAGAGATTTGGTTTTCATAGGCGAAAATTACTGGCAGCTGCTAGGAGAACAAAGGTTTTGGCATTCACAAAGATGACACTGACAACTATTATCATGCAAAAAGGAAGAAGAACAAAGAAAAATTAAAAGCCAACTAGAACGCTGAATAGAAAGTAACAGAAGAGAAAGAATGCAAAAAAGAAAGAAAGAAAGAAAAACAGAAAAGAGAATTTTCTACAAATTTAGAAAGTACTGTGCATTTATACATAGATGCATCACAGAGTCCTCGTCCAATAGCGTCAAATGAACATTTACGGCTTCTCAGGCCCCTCAAAGATTTTCAGCTCTATTATGGAATTATATTAATGCTATTTTTACGTAAATGGAAGATCACGTCAAAATTTTGCATTTGTAAATAAGAAAACAAAAGAAAAAAAGTGTTTTAAAAAAACAGTTAAAAGCAAAAAATTCCAAGGGTTATGACCATACCATATTGAAACTCCAGTTCCCATATGATCACCACAGTTAAGCAACATTGGGCCTGGTCAATACCTGATGGCTGCTTGGGAATACCAGCTACTGTAAGCTTGGATATGCAGGTAGTCTAATGGATAATGGCTTGGAGTTGTTAATTGTAAAGCCGAGTTCCAATTCCTGTTGGGTTTGTTATATTCACTTATGTACAAATACCATTGGGAAAGATATGAATCCGCCTCTTCTCCTCCAACTATAGGTTAATTAGTAAGGCAGTTTGTATCACTAAAATTCTTATCTAAAAAAAATATTTATGAATATTTTCTGGCTTTAAATAACCTGCAAGGGATTGATAAACAGTAGAAAAGGAATGAATCAATTTCTAGAAAAGAGTTTAAAATTTTACATTTAACCCAGTTAGACTTTGATTTTCAGCATCCTAAATGAATTCAGCACCTCCAAATAAGCTAGAAATGGAGTTCTAAATCATGATTTTCTAATAAATACAAAAAAGTTATGTCAAAAAATTACATTTTGTGCCCAGCATATTCCAAAAGTGGGTAAAGATCTATTTAGCATATGAAAGCAATTGGATATGTATTAAATATCTTCCTTGAAAACAATTTTCTTACATTTTTTCGGGAGTTTGAATTGTGTTAATATTTGTGGACTAGTGCTAAAAAGGAGTAACAAAAAAATCTTTTGGTCATTGTTTTTGTTAGCATTATTTGTATATTGGTAGGGAGATGTTAGAGATGAAAAAGCAAGCAAAATACAGCAAAGTATTTGACTGAATTTTGTGTTGTAGGATATTTAAGTCCCCTTGATAGGTCATTCTTGAAAAAGAGTGTAAGTTAACCATGTTAGTTATTTATCATATTCATTTCAATATGATTCCAATGACTTTCCTAACAAAAAGAATCAAGAAAAAACATCCCCTGCTGATAAGGCTGAATGCTTTCCCTGTAAATTCTCCTTAAACTCTACTCTTGACACATCTGGAGTAACCCGGCTTAACTTCCTACTTTGAACTGAATCTCTGAAATGATATGCATATAACCACTTTCATGGTTTCTGTTGTCATCTTTAACCTTGATCCCCGCAAAGCATGTGGCCCCGATGGTATCCTTGTAATATTCATTAAACATCTGCTCCTGAACTGACTCTTGTTCTCTCTAAACTGTATAATAAATGCCTCTCTGCCTTTATTGTCTGTTGTTACATTTTTTAAGAACTTTTGTGAACCGTTCAACCCATCGACCTATTTGCCTTCTATCTCTTTTTGGGATGCTCCTAAAGGTCCTAACCAATACTGAATTGGTTAATCATCTCATCACTGGACCTTTTGTCAGGCAAGCAATATGGCTTTTGTTTCACCAGATGTACTGACGATAATTGTGGAAAGAGTCTATTATGCTCTAGATAAAAACGGTAAAGCCTGGACCATAGCATTGGACATCTCAAAAACCTTTGATATAGTCTGGTATTAAGGTCTTCTCCACAAGCTAAAAAGTTACAGCGTCTCTGGACACATTTTTGAGCTGATCCAATCGTTCCCATCAAATCATGAAATGAATGTTGTCCTCAACAGCTACTCATCTACATCCTTTTGTACTAACACGGATGTCCCTCAGGGATCCATCCTTGGTCTTATGTTGTTTTTAATCTTCATTAATGGCCTTCTTGATTACATCAGCTCTCAACTTGGCATCTACGCTGATGAAACTACCATTTACTACTGCTTTGATAGTAAGGCTGATCAGTCAGACAAGGTCAAAATGGCAGCGGATGTACAAAACTTACTTCAAGACCGTCGTTAACTAGGGCAAAAGATGGCTTGTCAATTTTAACGCCTCCAAAACTAGACTTCTCTCTGCTTATCAAATTAAAAATCTCAGTTGGTAGGGCATTTTGCAAAGGGCTAAGGTACCATCAAAAGGTACCCTCTTACTAGCTGCATGTGGACTTTGGTTTGGACAACATATATCTATCTTTTCATAACGGTATAAATCCAACCTACATTGACCAATAGATTTAAGTATAATGATGACCTTATGTCTGGTTATAGATTTGAGTATAAGCATGACCTATGACTGCAAATAAAATATCACCATGTGCTATGTGTGCATATAAAGTATAGCCATATCCCATTCCTTCTTGTAGACGCACATACAGCCACGGCCTATGTCTGCCTTGTGGATGTCCCCCCAGGGCTCCATCTTTGGTCCTATGCTGTTTTTAATCTTCATTAATGACCTTTCTGATGACATCAGCTTTCAACTTGCATCTACACTGATGACACTACCATTTACTCATAGCTAATCAGTCCAACATGGTCAGAATGACAGCTGATGTACAAAACAACCTCAAGACAATCATTAACTAAGGCTAAAGATGGCTTGTTAATTTCAATGCCTCCAAAACTAAACTTCTCTTTGTTTATCATCTGAGAGACACCTCTCTGCACCTTTTTGGGCTAATGTTCTCAGGCAACATGAAGTGGAAAGACTATATTGAATCTATTGCTAGTTCAGTGAAGAAAGTCTGTTCACTGTGTCGTGCAAGACAGTTTTTCTCTGCAGAATCTATCTTACATACCTATGAGTCTACCATTCATTTATGCTTAGAATATTGCTGCCATATATGATTGGCTGCCCATGCTATTTTTCTGGAGCTCCTTGATAAGATCCAAAGAAGAATCAGTGATATTATTGGTTCTGAACTAACAGCTTGGCTTCAGTCCCTTGGACACTGCTGTAAGGTTGCCTCTGTGTCTTTTCTATAAATACTTTTATAGTAATTTTTCAGATGAGCTCTTCACTATGGTACATAGACGTTATGAATTTAAGCACAGAACTAGACTGGCATTGAGATCTCATCCATTTACAGCTGAGCTGGCTAGATGTAGTCGTAACTTCTATGCTAACAATTTTTCTTGCACTTCTTGCTTGTAGAATTCCCTCCAGGCTCCATGCTTTCCAGCCAACTTTAGCTTGCAAAAATTTAAATTCATTGTCAAACACGATCTACTATCATCCTGATTACTCTTTTCACTTTCTGCTCATTACTAATGTTTCTGTTCCTAATTCCTCCACACCCTGTAACCCCTTGTGTGCTAGTGGCTTGGGGTGATGCCAATTAAAAAAATATCCAGAATTGATCATTTAAGTTTAAATGAATAAACATGGGTGAGTTTTGATGAACTTTAAATGATCAGAATTCGACAAATTCAGTAGAATCCCTCATATGCAAAAGGTCTTATATCCGGAATCCCGCATATCCAGACATGATTTTGTTGTGTATATTTGAACTATTTGGGTGATATGTAACTGGTTTGAAATTTCTGCTTTTTCAGGAAATTTACTTTGAATAATTGCTTATGCTTATTGCACCCTAATGGCTTGTATTGGTGCAAAAGATGATGGGAATAAGAGGAAAAGAACAACTTTGGAGTTATCGCAAAAAGTGGAAATTTTAAACAGACTAAATGCTGGGGAAAGTTCATTGTAACTAATAGCCAAGTTCAACATAGGAAAGTCAACATTGTATGATATAAAATCTTCCAAAGAAATTATTTTCCAGTGTTCACACTGTTACAATGAACAAGGAAATAAAAAAATATGATTGTAATGAAACCTGGACTGAAATTGAAAAAGTTATTGAAAAGTTTGTCAGTTTTATGGAAAGAAAGCCAGCATTCATTACATTATTTGTTTTGTATATGTGGAAACTTAATTTAATTAATTTTTGTTAACATTGCATAATTAATTTCTTTTCCCTTAAAATCAGTTCTGTTAGATTTCACTGACCATTAGCTTATTTGTATAAAATATTGAAAATAAATATTAGAACCGATTTCAGTTCTTTTATTTTAATCACCCCTCATATCCGAACATGGTAACCAATTCCTCGTATCCAGAAGGCCTTCTTAGTCCAGGTGTCAGGGATTCTTTTTCTACTGGAGTTAGAACAAAGGTATACCAGTTCTGAATTTTGAATTTTGAGTACTTCACTTCATGTAAGTGGAAAACCTGGGTCCAAGAAGACACAAAGAGCTGCTCTCTTTGATGGGAGGCCGAAAAGGTTCCAAAATGCAAAATGTTCACTTACGAGTCCACTGTGTACACACACACACACACACATATATCTCATTTATTCGAAAATTCTAACATAAAAATGATAGAAAATCACTATAAAAATATCCATATTGTTTCAACACTTCTGGTGTCTTATCAAGTGATGGTGTTGATTCAACACCATCACTTTATAAGACACCAGAAGTGTTGAAACAAAATGACTATTTCTGTAGTGGTTTTATGACATTTTTATGTTAGAATTTTCGAATAAGTGATTATATTTGCTCTACTCTGTATTGAGCACTCTTTTAAGAATAGAATTTTTGGTTATTGGAATTTATTCCATATACACCAATCCTATACTTGTGTGTGTGTGTGTGTGTGTGTGTGTGTGTGTGTGTATATATATATATATATATATATATATGGGTGTGTGGTCAAGTGGTTAGAAAGTTTGTTTTCTGATTATGAGACCAGGGTTTGAATCTCCCAGTGTGTAGCACCTTTGGAAAGTGCCTGAAAACCATACCACTGGTTGAAATTGGGTAGACAGAACTCTTGGGGCCATCAATAGCTGTGCTAGCACAAAGTCACAAGTCATTGTGACTGAGGGCTTGAGTGTGCTGGTGTTGTTTTGATTGTTGATCATTCAAGATAACATGCTCTCTTCCAGAAACTGTAACTAAGGTCTGCTCAGTATAGTTACAGCATAAAATGCAGTTTGGCTCTGCGGATGTCAAACAAACACAAATGTGCCTGAGCGAGAGACTGAAATTATTATATATATATATATATATGAGAGAGAGAGAGAGAGACAGATACTACACTTTGATCCTATATTTACTTGTTCCACCTTTCAGACCACACTGAAGTTTATCTGCCTAAGGGGTGGGGAGTGAAAAACTTTAATCCTAATCAGAAATGCCAGTTTATACATAAAAAAAAAAAAAAAATCCATTTTCCAGGTACTATAAATAATTTTCAGTGTATTTCTATAATAGCATAAATAAGAAAATATAAACCTTATAAGTAAAAC